TATATATATAAGACATGTAAACAGTGGGGTTAAAAGCCATTTTAATAAACTCGTACCCAACAAAACGCACACAGAAGGCTCAAACAGACAATGGCTGAAGACGCATAAAAAAAGATATTTATGAAAAATGAAAAATATTTCGACCCTAAAATAACTAACATCCCACTCTTATAAAAAAATACATCGCAACAAGCTAATCGAAACAACAAGGTAAAGAAACATCTGATACAAAAATACCCAAAGCAGAATTTTTTTACTTACTAAAAAACCTGTTGATAAAAGAATGATGAATAACTGATGAAAAACAACGTTAAAGCAAAATAAATTAAAAACAAACGTAGCAAAACAAATAAAAAGTTTAAAACGAAAGCAAAAAATTAAGGAAGATAACTTGCGCAAACAGTTGGATGAAGACCCAACTGAAAACTAACCGAGATTCAGAATTTTGAAGTATTAGAAAAGCAATATCTGAACTACTGTTAAGAAAATTTCATCCATCAAAACTTTTTTGTGATTTCTTTTCACTGAAGAAATAAAAAAACAGTTCCCTCTCAACAATATTATTTCTATACAACAAAAATAGTTCTTAATTAAAAAAACAGTGAAGAATTCTATACCACAACATGTCAGGAAGATTCAGCACAAGGATAATATGTTAAACAAAGTCAAAAAACTTAAAATTCCCTTATCCTCAACCAAGGTCACTCTTCAGAATATACAAAGCTATGCGATCGTCTGCAGTAATTTTAGGAGTCATAATCCTGACTGACGCACCGTAACAGAGAAAGACCTTTGAAGAAATAATGATAAAATTTCCAAAGTTGTTGAGTGAACATCTGCCTGTTATGGACTTTTACGGTTCTGTTTCAACGCCTGCCTGGTTCATAAGATCAACTATATTCTTCTCTAGATCGTCAAGTCGCTTTGACATTTCGTCAATTCTGTGTAAAATTTGGTCCGATAACATCTGGAATCGGTCTTGCGTGGTTTGCAAAACAGTTTGTATCTAAAAGAAAAGCTGTAAGCCAATCACCTTTAAAATATTAAAATCCAAAAAGTAATAGCTGAATTCACAAAATGCTTGAGACTACTCAATAGCGGTTAGGAAGATTTCCAGTACAGAAAGTATCCAGTAAGCTAATAACTTTGATTATGAAATGATTCACTTAGTTACTTAAAACTCTGTAGATAATTCCATGTCGTGCAGCTCAACTATATTAATTCTGTTCAACTTACAAAAGACCGACAATTAATTACTGGTGATGCATACCACAGCAGATAAATCCTGAGAGGCGTTTCCATTTGTTTCTGCTTTAATAGTCTCTTCAGGCTTCACAGCGACGGCTTCCGGAGCCTTCTCCATGTTCTTCCTCTAAAAAATAAAATGAAAATTAAAAAGGAAAAAATTTTCCTCGTCCTTAATATGCACGGGTAGAAAAGAATAACAGTGCCAGTAACAGAACAAATAATACAGTTTTAAAAAACTGTTACAGAATACTCAAAAACACATAAAATCAACTGGAAAATCTTAGCCTATGAAAGTTCGCAAAGCCATTAGCATTCTCCGAATAGTTACAAGGTGAAAAAAAAAAAGAAATCAAGTGAATCTGCGGCATTACCATAATAAAGCGCAGCCGTACGCTAGATTCACCAAAATGACTAGAGCTGGTTTCTGATGAAAAAGCAAATTTCTCACGAAAAAGAACTTCCTTCTTTCCCTTTTCCCTCGCCCTTTCGCCTAAGCCCTTCCCACTCCCGAAGGATTATCCTTATGAAAAACGCAAAGAAAAGAAGAATCAGGAACAAACCATTTTTATTTTAACAATACTCTAAAATGTGAACTTAGGTCCTCTGATCAGACAAAAATAGTTATCATTCCTAATCATCCGTAAAAAGAACACAATTTAAAAGTAGCCGTGCAGAGTTTACACATAAGTTTACCAGGAAAAATTGGTAGTTTATCCCCTATCCAGCTATTTACGCTAAGCAATATTTCAAAATTCAAAAACCTTGCAAGAGGTGTCTCTTAAATGCCTATCGCCTTCCCTACAAACAAGCTGAGGCTTAGAGTTTGAAGGAAAAACGCTTTTATTTCTGCCCTGTTTTTCTCTTTTTCACAGCAATCTTCGTCAGTTTACTCAAGAAGGACCTGCGTAAGAAATTTTTTTGAAAATCTTAACTGTTAGTGAAGATGAAAGGATGAAAAGAGTAAAAAAAATCCCCACTGTGAGAAATAGAACTAAACTGTTACCAATACAAACTGCCTCCACCAAACTTACGCAAAAAGTCAACCATACGCAAAAAAAACGGTTCTTCACAACCAACATAATATTTCTTGGCAATGAAGGAAACTCAGACGATGAGTTGCAGCAAAAAAGCAGTGAAAATGTGTTGAACATGTGGCGTTTGGAAAAATTTCTTCTTTTTATCATGAGTGAAAGATCATCAAACATGATGACAAGATTATGATGTTTTTGTTATATAGGCAAGCGTAAAGCAAAACTACAGAATTGATGACCATTCATTCAAACTTCACAAAACAACACAACGGACTAGAAGATACAAAAACAGGTCAGACCTACAGCACAGCAAACAACCTTAAGAGAGCCAAATTCGACCACTAACCACTACTACTAGCATTACCACCACTGCAACTGCAGCACGGTAACAACCCCGATATAAACAAACAGTCCAACATTAGCAGATGCCTCCTCGCAGAACAGTAGTCTACGTTAACAATACAATGATGAGTCGTATAGAAGAAGCGTTGTTGTTAAAACTAAAGCAAGAAGCATCCATTTATCCGTCGTTCAAAATTTTTCACAGGCAACGATGTTGCTTGTCGTTGCTGTTGATCCTGCTGCTGCCGCTAAGTACTAACGCATTTGCAACTTGCAACCACCGGCAATGCCGTAATCACTTTAGCGAGAAACACAATAGTGGCACTTTAGTGCCGCTGCAAAATTCGTTTTAGATATTTCGACTGACTAAAAACAGTTTTTTGCAGCGCAATATCATTTTCTTCTCTTTTTCCTTTCTTTTGGTTAAGCAATTAGAAAACAACGATTACATCGCCTCGATAACGAATGTACCCAACACTTTTCCATAGTACGGAACAAAAAAAAAAAAAAGTGTAAAACGAACAGTTAGTTGTCATCGATTTTATACTTCAATTTTAATGTGTTTGTGGCATAGTGATAGATATTTTACAATTATTACTAACGCTCGATTTGAATACTTATACAAATGGTACAAATATTAACAAGTCCAGTTTTCTACATACCATTTGTTTGCACAATTTTGTATTTGTTATATTCTCAAAATAGCTAAAGAACAGCTAATCTGGCTGTCAATTTTTAGCTGTTCACTGAAACGGTTAAATATTTTAACAGTCAACATTAATCATAATTTCATTTTATGACCTATTATTGCACGTTTATCATTTATGTTATTTATGATACCACAAACGGACGCAGATGTGTCTATTTTTTGAAACTGATGTTAGTTGCAAAAACTATTGCAACTGTATTACACATTTCTTACATTGTACGATCGAATTAACTGATAGCTACGGAAAATCTTCATTAGGTTACAATGAGATTTAAAAAAAAAAAAAGAAAAAAAAGCAAGGAAAAGAAAATCTAGTTGAAGGGAAATAGTAAACGTGATCGATATGATTATAGAAGGAATTGCAGTTGAAATCGGAGAAAAGTAAGAAAAAAGAGAGAAATTGAAAATTTATTTATGGTTGTACAGCATCTTTTGTTACCATATTACCATTGGGTTCTAGTCGGTTACCAATGTTTTGCAAAGAGTAAAGATTGATTTGGTTGCGAGTAAAGAGGGAAGGCAACTGAGGTTAAATGCGGTATATCACCGAAAAATAGCAATAAGTGGCGACGGTGCTGCTGGTGGTGGTGGTAATGATGGCGAAAGTGATGATGGTAGTGGCGGTGACTGTGGCTGTGGTATCAGCTGGTGTTTAATGGATCTGTCGCGGTGCAAAATTCCATCAGACCAGTTACTGGTTACCTGCTTCAGTAGCTTTTTTTTTTTTGCCTTTCCCACTCAACAGCTCTGCTCAGTTTCTTTTTTCTATCACTTCTGCTTTACCACTGTTATTCTGCCACAGTTTAACCTATACTTGTCACAACTTTTTTTTTTTTTTTAAATTTTAGTTTCTCGGTATAACGCGTCAAGGTTTTTAATGCCAAGAAAAAGCTTTCTCTGGCATTTTTTTTTATTCATTTCTATGTTCATAAATCTTATCTTCTGAAAACAACGAATTAGCAAAGACTTTAATAGCCCAGTTTTTCAACGACAATCGCTGTCAGCGTTGTTGATAGTGACAGTTTTACAATCAAGCCCAAGTCTTTAGTAATATCATTGTATCATGAAAAAAAGCCATTATAAACGTGTGCTGTGATGTTGACATATAGGCAACAGAAGCTTCAAATCCCGGCTATGAAACATAGAACTGCTTTTCCAGTAGTCTTTGACTGCTCAAAACAGGATGATGGTGTAGTAGCGTTACTGACGACCATCTGTAGTACAGCGACTGCCGATCAGCTGTTACGTCAAAGTAGCATCTTATTTACTACTGCAGGCTGTCTTCTTCGTCGCTTTTATCATCTTGCTGAATTTTCTGGTAATTAGTAAATATTAAATAGTTCAACAGTTTATTTAAAGATTGCAACTTTCTACAGTAACCAAAACATAGTTAACCAACTGCATACCTGAGAGGGTAAGCTGAGGCTAACAGAGGTTTATAAGCTAAGTGGTTTAGCTTGTCTTTGGAAGAGTTGTGGAATCTTCATGACACAGCGTTGATCCGTTTCCTTCTTTAAAGACTCATTCAATTTCGGGAAAGCATAAATTTGCTACAAAAAATCCAGAGGAGTATCTTATAGTCTGTAGTTCTTGTTGGCGTTCTTCATACATTAATTTCATAGACTTAAGAAATATTGGATATTTTAAGAAGAGGGTCGTTCATACGGTTTGAGCTTTGAAAGTAGACACTACTGAGGACGACGCTTTAGAAGCCAGTAAGTAGCATATGCAGCCATTGTTCTGAAAAATGAAGAATCTTCACCTATCACGGAATTAATATACTTGTTCTGCACTATGACACGCTATTTGTAGGAACTCAGAGTTATGTGGTGTTAAGGTAATTAGTTTGAAGAGCGATTTTTGACAGTTATTCTTTGGCGAAATAAGGGAACAGGAAAACGTCTTGGCGGTAAATTTAGTGTGATACATTTGAACCTTCCAGTATGTTGTAGAATTCATACTAACGGGGAAAAAGTTTAATCAACTGGGATAAAGCGTCGTAATTTGATTGTGAAACGAGAAGTACTATGAATTTAAAGTTTTAGTGGCCTCAGTGGTCTTTACTTGGTTCCTTTTTTGTTCACAATGATTAATTTGTCTGACGGGCATATCTGTAATAACTTCGACTAAGGTGTTCAACTACAATTATAGATTGTTCCGTACAAAAACAGTAAAATTGGTACTCGTAGTCGTTTTCTATTTTCGGTATTGTTTAAAAATACGTGAGTTTGATGGCATTTGCATATAGTTGCGTGAAAAGCAAAGAGCAACGTTGTACTGGCTGAATACGTAGAGGGCTATTACAGTTATTAACTTCAGGCTACTTGTATGAATTAAAAGCACCATGAATATTGATCTCTCTAACTTCACTGATTCACATCCAGAGTTACTGTTATGTACATATAGTCAAAGTTGGATGGATGTGTTAAAATTTTTTGAATTAACGAAATGACTTTCCGCTTAGTGTTCATAAGATAATCGTATTGTTTTCTTGTCGAATTTTGTTTTTACTATACCAGTTGCGGTTATGCATTTACAGTCTCGATGGAGTTAATATTAAAAAGGCATTTTTTTCTGTTATAATTCGTTAAAATTTCTTCTACACTTTCATAATTACAGTCATTTAAGTGCCACTGTCTTTTATGAAGTGCAAATGGGCGGAACGAATAGCAAAGACAGTCGGAAGTCAAAGCAGTCGAAGTTAGAAAGTGACTTTCAAAAAGCGATCTTAACACGGTTTAAAAAAATGACTGGAGATAAGTCGATCCTAACTTTCGATTCTTTCAAGGTTATTTCACTTTCGAGCTTGATATCTATTTCATCTATTTATAGGATCGTTAAACTGTGATTTAATTAAGTTTATTCCACTTTTAAGTATCGTAAATGGGACGAAAAAGGGAAAAGAATTGTGCGGTGGATTAGATCTCATATGAGAAAATGTAGAGTGAGTGTTGGGAGTGTTGTGGGTCTTTTGTGTTCAGTTAAGTCAGCTTTTGCTAGGCGACAATTGTAAGTCTTAAATTGCAAATTATTTTAAAATATAAGAGATTTGTCTTTTAATTATTATTGACCAAATTCTTTGCAGCTTCCGATTTTTAGCCGTGAGTTATACCATTAACACTTTACTGTGACAGTCAAATTAATTCAAGTGGAGAAAATAAATATAATTATTTTTTTTCATAAATATTCTAAAACTGAAAGCAACGTGAAATTAGAATGATTACTTCATAATAGTTTTGGTAACAATGGTTCCAGGAGTATTCTGCCCGATATCTTCACAGTAACTTCCAGGAAACAGTATTCGAAACTTTAAAGAAATTTCGAAAATGCGACAACGTAAGAATGTTGAACGTTTTATAAAAAACGTTTTATAAAAAAATTTACTATTCTGACTTTTATTCCACTCTGAGCTGAGTCATCTGGAAAAAAGTTCGTCGTTTCTTGTGCTTCCTTAATTTTCATTAAGAATCAGGTTTTTGTTAGTAGAGGGAAGTCGCAGGTATAAATGCTTCTGTCTTCCTTATTTTTCATGAAAAGCTTTTGCTTACAGGTCACTTGTGAAAATATCCTTCGTTTTGCTGAACTACTTTTTGGTGATATCGACCAACTTGCATCGTGTATCGTATTGTTCGACCTCAAACTCCGATCGGTACTGTATTGTAGGTCTTCTACCAGTACTAAAGAGTCGCTTCTTCATTCTCCAGGAGTTTCATGTCCTTTTTTTTTTTCTTGGGAGGGGGGAATGACTAAGGCATATTGAAGACACTAAAGAGATGGTGTATACTGCTTCCTACAGCCTCAGTTACTTTCTACTGGGACTTAACTAAAGTTTTTTAGGTTGTTGAGGCTTCTGTTGCATCACTGTTCGTCTGCGAATATCCGCAAGAGCAACATCCGGTTACTCCTTTAGTTGACTTTATAATGACAGGAGCCCCTCCAGATGATGACAGCCTTAACATAGATATGTTGTCTAAATGGCTCTCTCAGTCAGTGCTTCTGCCGGTAGTTGTCCGAAAGGTTTTCAAAGCTCTTCTAGCCGGCACTGACGAGCGGCTGATGCCAGATCTCAAAGATAGAACAGTGCTTTCCCCATCGGCTCTTGTTGCTATATCTTCGCAGCTTCCCGCAGAAATACGCTATGAATGGGCCCTACTGTTCTCAAGGTAAGCGGGTTTTTTCTTTTAATTTGTATTTGATTTGAAACTTTTAAAGCTCTCCAAGTCTGTTCGAAAAATGAAGCTCTTCCTTTTCAGTCAGAAAAATGGAGAAAGCTTTTCAAAGCTACTTAATGCAGTGAACGGAGCAGGGCCCTGTTTGATAGTTATTGAGTCTGACAAAGGAAGAACATTTGGCGGTTTCGCCAACGAAGGCTTTTCTTGTGGAAATCAGTATACAGGAGACAGCCGGTGTTTCTTGTTTCAAGATCATCCCAGACTTGCAATCTACAGTGCAACTGGTTTTAACAGTGACTTCGCATATCTTAATCACCAACAGGCTTTTTTTCCAAGCGGACTGGTAAGTGTCATTCAAATATGCTTTTGGGTGTCACACAACAACAAGATTTCAGGGGATGGGTGGTCATGATGACCACTGGTCGTTTTTCTTGCATGGAGAGTTTGGGCTGGGGACTTCTTCACCCAGTATAAGCACTTTTGAAAAGTGTTGGTTGGCAAATGAAACACGATTTAAGGTTAGTGACAGAAGATTTTGCAAGCTAAAGTTGGTTTCCAAAAAAAGTTGAAAGTTTAGGTTAGAAGTGTCGAGGCTTGGAGGATTGGGAAACCAACAAAACGGAAACGTTACGACAGCGAGGGGAACGAGATAATTGAGGACGAAATCTCCGCATTAGACCGTGATCCAGAAGCTCAAGCAATTTTAGAACTTGCAGGAAAAAAAACGTACAGCGATGCCTACAGGGAACCACCAAAGAATGAATGAATCAAATATGGAAGAATCATAATGATCTATAAGCAGTATTTGTCACCTACGCCAAAAGACTTATTCACACTGCCGCACTGAATGCTAGTGTTTTGACTGTGCTGCTCCTAATGACTTTTAAATCATACTTTACGACTTCACTGCGCGTTTCGGGCTCCTTCGATATAAAAAAGCCATAACTTGTCTAGTACATCCTCAATAGATTTATCACCCAAATAATCTGAATACGGTACTGCGCATTCCCAGTGGCAGGTCGTACAGCTCATGACTTCAAGAAATTTTCTATTCCGGCAGTAAAAAAATACAAATTCTCTGCGATTCTTAAAGAGTAACGACACTAAATAGCAAAGTAGTCAGAAATTTACAAAACTGCATAATGAAACGTACAATAAATAACAAACATTTGTTTCTACAGTATTTCTTTGATTAGACGTAAAAGACATTTCAAAATGCCACTGTACCTCTCTGGCTAATATTTCGCTATACAGTTCACTCTTCCAACAGTCAAAATGAACGGCGGAAGAAGGGCTACTTTTCATTTCCTTTGGTTCCTTGAGGGAGTTTGTCGACCGAAACCTCTTGGAAGCCAGCGGTGATTGATTGACCTCGGAATGCTGGAAACGCCTCCCAAGGGGAATCCAAATCAAACTTCCTAAACTCTTGCGCGAGTTCCACTGGTTCTTGTACTACACGTCTTAATTCAGGGTCATACCGGACCTAAATGGTCTAATCACCGTTAAGTAGGCACTGAAGATGACGTATACACCTCCCCATAGCGATATACAATACAAATGAGACAGCAGTAATACTGCGGTAATGACTGCCTTAAAAGTAAAAAAAATTGAACTTCCAGGATCAAATGAAGGAGTACGCAAACTGTAAATTTTCTAAGACTCTAATATCACACATAAGTATCCCTTCTCAAAAGTTCCTAAAAGTTTCTTCTTTCCAAAACGTGAAAAAACGTGACCCGTTCACACTTACTCATTATTGTTGTTTATCTTTGGGTTCCTTCACAAAAAAAATTGCTCAAGCTATCAATATCGCTCGACTTAAAAAAACCTGTTCTAGATTTGAAAAGAAAATCTTGAGTATAAGTACTTTAAAAACGTGACAGCAAGTTAAGGTACTCATGAGCACGGAGCACTTGCCTCATAATATCCTGTCAGCGGAAAATCTTTCCTGAGTGGGTGTCCTTCAAAGCCATAATCAGTCAGAATTCTTCTCAAATCCGGATGATTGTTGAACCATACTCCGTACATATCATAAACTTCCCTCTCATACCTGCAATTTTGTATTAGGAAACTGAAATAAAACATGCTGAACTGAAATTACGCCTAAAAGCGCTAAATGTAGAATTCGCAGTTCGCAAAAAAATAGAAAATAATGTACTAAGCACTTCAATCCTTCGTACTGTTTCACTGCTTCTAGAAAAAAAGCCTACCTAATAAACAAGATCAACAGCTATAGGCTAAACACTGGTTCACCTACTGGCTTCCAAAATTAAACATAAAGACTCTACAACAGGGCTACACATAAGTTTTATTATCTTAATAATCGAAAAGATAATAGAGGATTTATTTGTTTGATAATGACATACCAGTTCGCACCACGAAACACGGATGTAATGGATTCGAGAGGAGCTATTTCGTCAGTATAAGTACGTACACGAATCCGGGCATTAAAACGAGTGGAAAGAAATGCATAAATAACCTTGAAAGGAAAAAAAAAATTAAAATAGCAAAAAAGATTTCCTGTAAGTGTAAGGCAGAAGAATTTAGGAATACAGCAGTAAGGTAAGGAAGAGCGTAGAAAAAAGCAAAACTAAAAGCTTAAAACCTCAAATCTATTTTTGCGTGTAGGTACGTCGACACCGGTAACGAAAATGAAATTAGTAAACTGCGCAGAATGATGACCCTTTAAAAATGCAACTACAGGAACGACACCAGATGGGTGAATAAGAAGTTCAAGTTCGTCCCCTCCTGCGAACTAAAATCATTCTTTTTTCATGAAAGTTTCATAAGTGCAGTTTTGAAATAACAAAGTGTGCATGCAGTCCTGCGCATGTTAATTTGCTAGCTGGCATACCAAAAACCGTTCTATATGACCATAAATGATATGCTAGTCACTACACCAAATAACTATGCGCAGTACATGATAAGTTTATTAAAACCAACTTTATGAATCTTATTAGACGCTTAGTTACCTGTACTTTCTGAACAAATTTTGGTAAACATTCAGCAACGTATTTACCAAAAACGGCTAATCGTTCCCTTTTGGCTGTGTCAATTTTCCATACATTTGCTGTAACAAATTAAGTTATAGCAAAGCAAGCAAGGTAAGTGAAATTCAACTCCTAAAAACCAACGTTTTTGTCTTTTATCCTGGGCAGCAGATGTCGATGCTGGTGCGTTTCTGACAACAGCACTCGCGAGCGTAATATGCTGACTTTTTAAAAGACTACGTAACATCAGTCTGAGGCGATGGTGAAACCCTTAAATATTTGTTACATAAAGTAAAAAACCGTGTTCAGCTTTACAGCCACAGCAGAAATAAAGAAACAGAACTAGAAACGAATACGTGACGTGACGACAAAATCTGATTAAAGTCAGTGAATGATTTTTCACCATTTTCTGACAACCAACCAATCAATATTCATTGACCAATCTTCTGATAAAACTTTTAGTTCTATGATATTATAAAAAGCATATCTTAGAAGAGGCCATTTTCTGCAACAGTTAAAATTATGAACAGTTTAAGCAGATTCTTCCTATACTTAAAACCACATAAAGAAAGCACTACCAGTACGAAAATGCACTTTAGTTAACCATTAATTATGTTTAAACAATCACAAAGCATAATAATAAAGCAACTCGGGAAAAGTTATTTCGCAGAATATGTCTCGGATACTTCACGTCGAGTGGCCTATGGTTTTAAAAAATAAAACAAACTATTTATCTACAAATTCTACAAATTCATTCACGAATCTCAACAGTAATAGGAACAATCAACTGCAGATATAAATAATAGAAGTGAAAGATAAGGTTGAACGACAGACCACAAAATAACCCACTTTCCACTTTTAATTACAGAGAATCTATAAATCCAGATATATTAAAGTGAATACCGTATTTCCTTATACCAGATGTGTAACGAAGTTGCCAACTATATATATATATATATATATATATAT